TTTCTCTCCTCTCTCTCTCTCTCTCTCTCTCTCTCTCTCTCTCTCTCTCTCTCCCTCTCTTTCATGTTTACCAGAGTGTCACATTCTGGGATATCTGCTGTTGTACTTCGCGTCGTGCGTAAATCCGATTATCTACGTGATCATGAACAAGCAGTACAGACAGGCGTATGCCGGCGTGGTCGGGTGCTCGTGGATAAGGATGAGTCTAACGCCGTACGGCAGCAGTGCGCCGGGTGGTGCCGGTGGTCTCCAAGCTCATCATCAAGACTACGTCCAAGGTAACTTCGAGCAACAACGACACGCGGTAACACTCACCAAGCTCTGACCGAGCGCGCGAGCTAAGCGACCATTCGCTCACTTCGTAAGTCAAGGGCACCACAAGTTTGCTGCTTTCTGTTTGATTCTTCCATTTCTTGGTACCGCTGCCTGGTCGGTCCGCTTGCGTGTGCTAACGACGATTAATCGCATCTCCATGTTTTTTCTTTTTTTTTTCTCAAGGAACTAACTAATCACAATCTAATCACTAATCATCTTTCTTTTTCTTCTATGCCCTCTAGCACCTTTCTAACTCCGTCCTTCAAAACAAAACTAAGACGAGCGAGCGATGTTGAACGATCGGCGCCGGATACTTCCATCCACCTTCGATCATTACGATTAATTACAATGGGCTAACAAAATCCTCACGTCTTTTTTATAATCTATACGCTATGAATATATTGTTAACCTAATCTAAAGTATAGACTTATCTTATGTGTTATGTTAACACCATTATGTTAACACAATTAGAATAGGATTACAAGACTCTAATTCAAAATTTAGGAGAAAGAATATTTTCTTTTTATTTTTTACAAATTATGTAAACATGTATGCATTTGATAATGCATATATAATATAGATAAATTAACTTTTTTATAATATTTTTATATTTTTACATTTTTATGTTTATTGTTTTTACTTATGTTTTATATTTTATCAAGCATAAATTTCTAACAGTAAAAGTGCTTAAAAATAATCTGTTTCGCTATCTTTTCTCTCTTTCTTGCAAGCATTATTTCTCTTTGTACATTCTATGCAACAGTTTCGTCATCAGGATACAATTTTGTACTTTCTTCGACTGTAGACTACTCGAAGGACTTCAGCAAAACGATGGTGTCGACGGTCTCTATTGCTATGAATCCCGTGAGAAGTTTGCAATTCCAGGAGGAGCTATGAGACTGACATCAAGAAGGGAATGAGAGATGTCTTCCATTACGATAAGAAAGGAGAAAGGAGAAATGGAAAAGGATGAGAAGAGAAAGAAAAATCATTGATAACGGTGCAACGGTGTTATTAAACCAATTTGCCAGTTAATTTTTGTATCTTGTCTGATACAATAAGAGTATGAAATTATTTCTTCGTTAAAGAATGAAATGATCCACATATTTAATCTGAGACATGGATAGGTAGAAAGTTTTATTCAAATAATGACCAATTTACCAAAGATTGTCATATGTCATTGTATTTTATAATAAAATACAAATATTTCGCATTGTTTTTTTATTTAAGATGTAAGTAGTATTTATCAAAAATTATAATAAAAATAGACTGTTATTTATTAATAATTGTTTTATGCGTCTTTTGAAAAAAGCAATTGTTTTACAACAGAAAGATTATAAATTTGTTTACAATAACATTGAATGTGCCATAGAGCAGGATATTTAATTCACAAATGGACTTTTTCTTTATAAAACTTATTAATGTATGTATGGCTACTGTAATATTTTTGTTGATGAGGCTATATTGTATTATGAGCATTCAAGATATTGATACAAATTTATTTAATAAATTTAATATTAAATATATAATAAATTCTTATAAATTGTCTGAAAGAAAATTATTAATTCATATATAATTAAAAATTTAATTAGTCATAACCCACGAAAAGTTGTCAAAATTTAAGCAAATTTAAGCTTAATTAATTAAGCTAATTAATTAAGCTTAATTTAATAGAAAATTAGATTGAGAAGTCGAACATATTTTTCAATACAAACATGAGAAAAAATTTGTATTCTTATAAAATATATTTTATAAGAAAAAGATAGCATGTCTCTATTAGAAATACAAAAAGTCAAGTTGATAGTAGGATATTTTAGATAATTCTATAGAAAGTTACAATTAGTAAAACCTGCTCCAAATATATTATTGTCGAGTAAGCCATCTCTTAGGATTTTCGACCGCTATCAATTCGAGCTCTTCCCTTGTGAAACCTTTATTTATCATTTTTGGCATAACGTTATTTTCGATATGGGAATATCCGTGTCCACCGAAATACACCTTAAAATGATATCAAATATTTAAGCGCTGGAAAGTATTAATTTGCAAAATTAAATAGAAATCGGAGATGAGATATACGTACCAGACGATGCTTGGTATGAATATCGTGACTCATGAGAACTCGATCCAGTTTCTTTTCTTTCTTCAACAGCGCGATACGTTTGATACGCTGTGCATCTGACAGCATATCGATCGACGGATTCAGCTGATATAAGGAACACTCGGTACCAAACAAATCAAACTGAATGTAGCATTTGGTAGCATCGGCGAATTCCATAAGTTGCTCCTTTTTCATTAAAGTACCTAAGTGAATTAATTGAATCAACTTTTTGCAACAAGTTGATACGTGCTTTAACGTGAGTTAATTAAAAATTGATAAAGAGAGAAGAAATTCATGGATTTCTCACGATCAACATGAGACATGATGGCCCTCTTGGCATCTCCACCGGCTTCTTGATAGATCCTCATTATTTCCATAGGTGCGGATGCATCCCTTCCGGGATGGAAGCTCACGGAACAACGTAATTGAGCTTGGAGTTCGCCAGTTGCACAAATGGCACGTTTCTCGAAATCTAACGCAAATATTATATTTCTTGTAAATATTGTCAGACAAAATATGTGCGAAAAAAATAATTTTACTAAAGTATAATATTTTAAAATTTGACTAGACACAAGTCTGAAAATAATTTTGTTGGGTCATCAAAATTATTATGAAAAATACTTAAGCGCGATGATAATACCGCAAAAATTTCTTCACATTCTAGCAACTAATTTGAAAATCTTATATAATTATTTCAACAAAATTATCTTCAAATTTGCATATAAAGATAAATATTTTTAGATACTTCAGCAAAACTTCTTTCTATGTAGTAGTTATTCAATAGTTTATTCAAATTGATTATTAATTATATACCTTCGATCGGCCAATTACTGCCAACTTCCCCGATAAATCCTGCCTTTACATGGGAACATTCCACGCAGCCTTCTTCCAACTCTTGACACATCAGATTATACATTTCTTCTTTAGTCATAGCGAGAACCGATGCTTCTTGCGTGCTGGCGACATAGAATCCTGCCGAATTGCAAAAATGCTATTAAATAATAAATAATAATATTATTATTATTCGTTACAGCATACCGTACCAGTTCCCGCGATCACGTTAATTCCCATAGATCGGCTAACGTTCCTCATCAAGGAAATGTCGCGTTTCAAACCATGGCTGCTGTTCTCCACGATGGTCCCGCCACCAGCTTCCTTAAATAATTCCATATCTTTGTAGACAGCTTTCGCTGCGTCGCCATCGTTGAGCTTCAAGTTATATAGACTACTATATCTGATATAAAAAAAAAATTTGTATTTATTATCTTCGTCGATTTTTATTAATTCAATCATTTATTTATTGACGTGTAATTGTGATTGTGAAAATTAATATATTTCGCGAACGCGTTACACGAGACACATTGCGAAAGATATTTGACTTACGGATATTGCCGTATATATCCGATATTCTGAAGGGATGGACAACCCTCAGGGAAATGAAATTTGAGATGTTTCGGTGGTGGTACGTAAAATGTATGAAAATCCATAGCCAAATGCTCGTGCGTTAACGTTCTCCCGAGCTCCGACAATCGTTTACTTCCTAATACTGCACCAGAAAATAATAAGAATAATAATAAATAGAATTTGTAGAAGGGAGGGTGTGCGTCACGGCGGGACCCGACCACGAACCAGTCGTGAAAACTCGTAATTATTTTGCGAAAAAATACCACCTCAGCCCCCAGGAATCGAACGAATCCGGAGCTCCAGCTTATCGGGCAGGCATCTTATCCTTTCGAGACTACAGAGGCATGTGATAATATTTATCGCAAATAACGTGCTTAGAATAAACGTCACAATACAATGATACACATATATACATATATCACACTATACATATATACATGTACATTCTCTCGAATTCCCACGACCGATATTCCAGAGAGATGATAGTCCTAATCTCTCGATGGATGCAGGTCGGACTGCGGCGGTGAATTCTTAGTATCAACGTCTGTAGATATAATAGAATTTAACAAAAATTTTTTAAAATGGAAATATTAACAAATTGAAGTAACTTATATTATACACAAAAATCAATATAAGTTACTTCAATTTGTTAATATTTCAATTTTGTTATAATTATATATTATAATTAATTACAACTTGGAATCTAAAAGACTTATAATTGCTGAAGATTAAACTATATATATATATATATATTTTTTAAATTAGCATAATCGTGAATTTTCAATTATTACACGTTTGAAATAATATATGAATTTTTAAGTATCCATTGCATTTATTCCGCGTTTCTTAATCCTTCTTATTTACTTTATCTCTTTTTGATTTAATTTCCATACTTAATTTGCGCTTACCAGTATTTACGCTATCTTTGTCAGTCATCTTCGCTGTTTCTTTCCGTAACAGAACTAAGTAATTTAATTTGTATTTTTGCACTTTACGTTGAATTATAATAAACGCACGTACAAACGCACGTTTTAAAATTTTACAAGCTCGATGTTACTCGTTACAATGCAAGGCAGAAACGTTAAGCCCATCTGTTCGTGCTGTAATTCAGATCTACTTGCTACTCGATCCGACATACTTTGCTTCCAACAACCTAACTTGATCTGATGTTGGCTCATTATCTGTCTACACTCGGCGCTATTCTCAAATACTAAACGCCACTGATAAAATATTATCAGCAAATAGAACTTACCACAAAGTATGTAATTTGTGTACAGAAGCTTGTGATTTACGCACAAAGATAATGTACTTGCAAAACGTTGCGTTTTTTATCTTTATTGCGCCCAGCATCAAAAAATCTGGAAGGTAATTTATCAGCTAGTCTTTGACAAAATTTAATTATTCTTTTAGTTTAATTTCATTAATCTAAATTATAAAGTCTATTATAATAAGTTATATTAATTTTTTTATTAGAGTGATTTATTATGTGACGTGTAAATTTACAGGAAGAACATTTCTATCGACACGGTAAATAAATAATCATCTTTTATTTATTCTTTTAATTCCGGAATACGTACAAAAATATTTACTATTGCTCCCTCAAATAAAGATTATTTCAGATTTAATTTGGATTTAAGGGATAGTCGTAGTAAGATATCATAGTTGTCTTTTTACGCGTGATTTATTACGTGACATATAAATTTATAAAGAAAACTTTTCACTAAACACTGTTATTGGCGTGAAACCAATAATGATAACGACAATTATCGTATAAGACAAATATATTAAAATAACAATAACATAAATATTTCAATAAGATATTTTCGCATCCAGTTTCATTGTATACGATCATTTTGCAAGCATCGTGTTGGATGATATCTCGCTTGATCCCATTGATGTGTATTCTCGACAATTTTAAGATGGTCATCGACACTTAGTTACGTCGTTCTATTTACAGCAAATAGATTTTTCGCGACTCGATAGGCTCTTGTGCTGTAATCGGATCGAATCGTGTATATCGTTATCAATTTTTGCACTCAACACCTTCTCTACCAAATAACGTATAGCTGCATCTGCAAATTTAGATAACATGCACAATCAGTTCTCGGTATGATTCCTACCAACATTTATAAATCGTAAGAATGTTCGGAGTAAAAGTATCTCTACTGCCGCTTATATTCAAACAATTCTCTTCCTTTTTCTTAGAACTATAGAACTTTCTTTTAGATAAATACAATTATAAAGTAAACAGTACATGAAACTAACAGCTAAAGTATCTAAAAATGTGGTCAAATAAGATTTCAAATTAATTTCGTCGGACGCAAGATGCTAATATTGCAAAAATTTTGATATTCCAACAACTAATTTGAACCTGCATAATTATTTTGATGGTTCAATAATTATTTTTAGATACAGATATATGTAGAGGAAACAATTTTTCTGAAGTGGCTCAAAAATTTTTAGCAGATATAAATTTAAAATTAAATTCGACAGATCATAAAAATAATTATACAGAACGCTAAAATATGATATCGTAAAAATGTTTTATTTATTTGATTTTGATGATTCAACAAAATCATTTTCAAATCTGTATCTAGACAAATCTTTAGATACTTCAACAGAACCGTTTTCTTTCTATATAAATTCCTTTGAAGAAATAGAAATTCAAATGAGAAAGATAATTTGGAAATAAGCTATGCGCGATCATCCACCTACCGACGTTGGTGTTGTTCTTTGCGGAAGTCGCGTACCAAGCGTGTATCTTATTTTCCCTGCAGAACTTGGAAATCTGCTCATCAGTTACGGCGACTGATATGTCACATTTGTTCGCCAAAAGTACCACCGGTATGCTCGAACCGTCCGGTAGCGTAACTTTCTCCCTTAGGTCGTTCAGCCATTTCTTCATCGACTGAAAGGTCGCCGCGCGTGAGATGTCAAACACGAGAGCTGCAGCCACTCTGCGTGCGGGTCAAATTAATGAAGACATCGGTCGATTATTAAAAAAAAATAAATAAATTCGTAAAACTTTGCAATCAAGGAATTAGCTTCATCTCGACTTACTTATTAAATTGCAACAAAGTATTTTTACATATGATAATTAGCATCTTTAATACATGAAAGGAACAATTTTATTGAAGTAAATAAAAATTTGATACAAATCTGGAAATATTTGATGAGCCATAAAGAATAATTATGTTCAACGTCTAAATTGATTATCAAAAATATATATTCTAAAATTATTTTATTCTATTAGAATTTATAACAATCACAAATTATTTTAGTCTATTAAAATATTAAAAACTTTTACAATATAATAGACATGTTTAAGAATAATTATTTTGATGACCCAATAGAATTATTTTCATATCTGCATACATCTAATCAAATTTTAAATACTTCAGCAAAATCGTTCTTGCTACGAAAAACAAAGACCAATATCGAATAAAAAGATTAAATAAAAAGAGACGTGTTGAAATCATATTTACGCATATTTATAATAAACTCTTGTCATGTATCCGAATCTCTCGTGACCGGCGATGTCCCTAAAATATATATATCCTGAATTAAATTATTGTTTTCTATATATACTCAAAAAAAAAGTTTTTGCTGAAGCATCAAAAATTTGGTCAAACATAGATCTGAAAATAATTTTATTGAATCGTCAAAATAATTATATAGATTGTTCAAATTGTTAGAATATTGACATTTTTTGCAATATTATCATCATGCTTAAACATCTTATGTAATTTTTTTTGGTCCAACAAAATTGTCTTCAAATCAGTATTTAGCTAAATAATATTTAGATATTTCAGCAAAACCATCTTTTTGGTATAATTATATCTTGAGAGATTAAAATTAATCCTTAAAGGTCATAAAATATAAATAAAAAACCCTCGAGCATGACAAAATAATAAGCAAGATAGATAAATAATGATTTACAAGTACCATAGCTGCAAGTTTATTTTAGTGTGCGGATCCCAATCGAGCGTTTTTATCGCAAAATCGGCGCCTATGGTAATCTTGTAATTTGAGGAGAACTTCCCTGGAAAAGACAGTTTCGAGAGTGTGCGGTGACACCGGTGACGTTTGGATTATCGTTGTAGTCGCAGCTGCAGCGGCGCGGCAGTTTGACGCACGTATCGTTAAAACGGATAAGCCGGCTTGCGGGCATTTCTATCCTCTTTCGACAAATGCACGTGCCCGCGAAATGTGCAATCCGCTTGTCTATGATCGCGACAAAACGATGTTTAATATTTTCAACGAGAATCTTTTGTCAGACGATTCTGGCCGACGACGATCAAGAAACAGAAGATAAATCGCGATAAATTACCTTCCGTGTATCTTCTGACCAGCGCAGTTTTGCCTGAAATAAATAATTTCTACAGATGCATGAACGATACAATTTATATATATTTTTATAGAAATATAAATAATTTATTTCTGATGATAAAATAAAATATTTATAATTTATTTATCTCTGTAAAAGTATAAAACTCATGTCACAGAGATTCTCGAATCTTTTGAATTCTTCTCATAAGAGAGATCTTGCGTTAAATTCTGCCGCAACGACTCTGAAAATTTTGATAAAGAATTTGTTTATAATTTTCGCGGATCAACACCGCGAAGGTTTAGAGAATTGACATTCGAATAATCGATCAAACCGAAACAAGAAGAAACGGACGAAAGAAGATTATCGGATATCTTATCGCGTAAGAAAATTTTGTATTTCTGTGATTCGAAAATAGTACAGAAGCGACCGTTTATCAATCAATAATCTCGTATGACTCACCGACACCGTAATCGCCGATTACGAGGAACTTGAAGAGATGTTCCTTGTGACCAAAGTTGAGCAGCACGGCATCCGAGTCCCTTCTGGATCCTCGCAGGGTCATGCTCACCGTTCGGTCCGCTCGCCTCATCGATCCGATCACAATACCACTTCGATCAGCGAATCACTGTCGTTCTTCTCAACAGCAAGAATGATAAACAGAAGAAGATGAGAAAGAGACGACCCCGCGGGTCGACGTCCACCATCTCGCTCCCCCCTCGATCAATGTTTTCGTATCAGCAATCATCCGACGTTATCTCGCATCGCTGCAAATATATACTGTTTTTCTTACAAATTATTAACACACTTCTATCTCGTCTAAGCTTTAAAAATTATTTTTAAATTCGCCTGAAAAATCATTAGAGCGACTTATAGCGGAAACCGTTCACCGTTCTCAATAATTTATCGATAAATTTCGATAAATATGTTAGAGATGTGAGGATAGGAGTAAGATCGTCAAACAGCATTTCATAAAAAGTGCAGGCCTTTATTTTGCGCATACACCTCTTTGTAACGAGTAACACGGCAGCGATTGTTGACTTCGATCGAACCTTCTCGGTTTCTGTATCGCGGAGGCTGGATAAAGGCGAGCAGACATCACATACATACGCGTATTTCCTAAAATCTTTGGAAGATACTTGGTTGCGATTCCATTTCCGCTCAACAATAAACGCACGAGGATCATGAAATAATAAATAACAATTAGACACCGTTTCGCTATATGCAAAAAGAGAACTCTTCGTTCTCATCCTTTCCTTCCAAAGACATGAGATGAATGTAGAACGCGAGAGAAGAAAAAGAGAATTATAAATAAATAAATAAATTGGAAAGGATAGAGATACAAAGGAGCGGAAGAGAAATAAGAGGATATCTGCGTGCACCACACAGACGCATTTCACAGTCGACGATTTTGTCTGTAACTTCCTTTTTTTTCCGTGACGTGTCTTTCGTTTAATTACGTGTACAATATAAAATGTTACAGTCACGCGTAACGATACAAGCTCAAAGATCATAACTTAATTCATTTGAAATTAAAGAAAACGTATATATTTATACGCTTATTCCTTCGGGAGTGTAACAATTGCAATTTCTAGTCCGGGAAATTCGACGAAATTCGAGGATAACGACACAATTTGCATTGTACACTTAATATCGATACGAAGACCGACGCCGTAAACATCATAAATTCTGTCCAGCACTATTAAGAATATAATCCGACGAGTATTTCTATATATATATATATAGACATTTGCGAGGCGAGTTATGCTAATTCCGGATATCGAATCGAGATCGAAGACCGAATATAATCGCGCTGAATTACTGAACCACCGAAATTGCAGTCGCGGTGTTTCGGATTCGTACGTTCGATCGATGGGATCAAGGGATCTTCGCGACAAGAATTGCACGATTGTTCTGTGGTCGCTCCGAGGCTGAGCGACCAATGATATCTTCACAATCACTAAATCAACAATGATAATTATACGAATAATAATAGCATAATGGTAGCGCTAATAGTAATAGTAATAATAATAGCGGTAAATACACAGTAATAATAATTTACATTTACACAAGACTCTTCCTCCTTATTCACGAACGATTAATTAATTATATTACCTAACTATATGTACGACATACTTATGATTATACTCGTTCATCTCTTTTCGCAACATGATAGTTCTACTCAACCGTATAACAATCTCTAATGCTTCGTCCGCGAACGAGAATTAAATTACTCATCCTCTTCCTTCTTCCTTCATTATTCTAATCAAGCTTAATAGAAATCAAACTTCATTAGCTTTGTAAATTTTTCGTTTTACGTTTCACATCAGTATCACGTTTGACTTGATACAATATTTAGTCCGCGAGACGGAACGAGGCACAAGAGATTATTGAAGAACGCATGAAGAAATACAAAAGATCGAGCAATCGTAAAAAAATATACAGAGGCGAATGCGTAATGTACAAGTTGACGAAGGATACGACATGCGAGTCTTATATTGTCGCAAATACATCCATGTATATAAGAACTTCGGATTCGTGTAAGATAAAAAGAGAATTTCATGCGAAAAAAATAACATAACCGAATCCCTTTTAACCGAATCAATTTCAACTGATTTGCAAAAAAATGTTAATCATTCACTTTAGATCCATAACCCCGCATCAGTGATTTTATCAATTCAGTAATCAAAGCTAGATCATCATCAGAAAGAGAAATAATTTGAATGATCGAGGATAAAGCTTCATATTTTTTTCACGGAAATCTTCTCATGTATCGTTTTCATAAGCTATCGTCGCTATCGTCGGCATGAGGCTCGACAGAGACGTTTCCGGCAAGAGGCGCGGCACTTCCTTCTCGGTTGGTTTCGATATCTTGTTCCATTGAATGTGAATTACTTTGTGCTTGCTGTTCGTCTACAAGAATATAATATTTTAGTTGTATAAACTATTATTTGTATTATTATATTATATTTATAAGATATTACAAATCATTTATTATATAGTTATATAAAGTAACAAATAATATATTCATGTAAATATTCTCAAATCTTCTAAGTTCTAAAGAATTAAGATTTTATTATATTTTGATATATTTTATCGGATAATACCTGATTGTGTCGGTGGAGAATCGTCATCTCCCTGACCCGGACTCAATATAGCCTCCTTAATTTGACTATTAACTCCTTTCGGATCTAAATCTGTTGCCCAACTAAAGTACATCAATGCAAGATGCGTATTACCTAATTTTTTATGCACCTGTTTCGAAATCAAATATGCATTTATATAAATTAGAGTAAAAAAGATTTTATTGCTTGCTTAACCGATCTTTTACCTTTCCTATCGAATAATAGACTAGAGATTCTTTGGGAATAATATTTTTTAATTCTTCGAATTCTTTAAGAGCTTCCCAATGTCGACCAGTGGAGAAGTTAATGCTTGCACGATGGAATTTGCATAAAGTGTTATCTGGATCATTAGTTAATGCTGTGTTTAGTGTCTTTAACGCCTGGTCGGTTTTCTTTAGGGCATGCTGCACGACACCTATGTGGCACATTAGCGCAGAATTCTGCGGATTTATTTGTAAGGCCCGTTTAAAATGTAACTCAGCTAGACTATATTGCTCTTGTTTCGAAAATATCGTTCCCAATCCGAACCTTCAATAACATAGAAAGAAAAGTTTTATATAAAATCAAGAAATAAAATAAAAATTAAATAAAATTAATTAAATATATATTTTACCATGCATTATAATGTCTGGGATCAAGTCTAATGGCATTACGAAAAGCAGTAATTGCTTTATCTAGTTCCTCAGTTAAAACATATTCATGTCCTAGTAATGTATAGGCATATGGAAAATTAGGATTCACCTGACAAATAATTAGAGAATCATATATCAATTTCGAGAAATAATTGTACATATTTTATACAATATTATTTATATATTGTTGTGCTATATTTTAGTGCTATGAAGGAATGAACGCGCAATACCTGAATAGCTCTTTGGAAAAATTTAATCGCTGTTTCATGTTCCGTTTGCGCCGAGAAAAGATTGCCTGTGGCGCACCATGCCGCCGCTGAATTACGATCTTGAGAAACCAAATCTTGAGCAAGCGTAGACAATTGTACTTCCGCATGCAAATGCCACAGGACAGTGCTATAAATCTCCATCAGCTCTGTTCTCTGTGGTTCTAACTGTCGCACTTCGGCAAAATAACTGCACGAAAACATTAAGCGAAAGAGAATTAAAAAATATAGTATATGCAAAATGTTTTTTATTATACTTTTCATCTCATTATAGATGCGAATAAGTGCCAAAATAGATTTCTCTAATAGCAATGATATAAATTTATTTTACCTGGCAGCTTTTTTATAATCCATCATTTCGAAATGTGCACGAGCCAGCATAGAAAGTACCCAGCCTGTATTATAGTGTTGCGTCGGTAATAAACTTAGAATTTCAACAGCTTGCGTACATTTGAACTGACTCAAATACTGATACGCCGTTCCTAATTCTCGTAATAAAGACATCAATCCTTCTAAAAAATAGCAAAACATTCTAATTATCATAACAGGAGAGCAATGTCGAAATTAATTAAACGATTAACGTACCTGCTGATTGCTTTTGTAATGTGATCCCAGAATGAATATTATTATTCTGGGTATTGAGTGCGTTCGCATTAGCCACAGCTTTCTCTGATGTGATTGTTTCACTCTTTTCTTTTTCATTCCTATTTCTCTCATTTAATTCAAAGTTGGCTTTGTTCAAATTCGCCTTGGATAGCCTCGCCTTCGTCTTCCGAGACGGAGACTTCGGAGTTGCAAATTTATTTCTATTAGGTGACTTATTGTTTTCCTGAAATATATGCAGGTCATATTCAAATTATCAGTCAACCATAAAATCGGCATAATAATAATTAAAAAAACGAAAAGCTGTACTTTTACTGAATTATGGCTAAACAGTCGCGATGACCGTCTAACGTTGGTGCCTTGAAATGTCGGTGACGGAGGTGAAGTCGGATTAGCTGCTGTTACTGTCACAATATTGGCAGTATTGCTTGTATTGCCTGATTGGGAAAATACCGATTTGCCTTGTTGCAACGGTGTTTCTTTCCTCGACATTAATTGCTAAAGAAACAAGATTTGGTTTTTCAATCGCGAAAGCATTAAATTGTTATAAGCATTGTAGAACTGAGAGGTTGCACTCACCCCTACATGAGCTCTTAAACTACTAACGCGTTTCGCCAAGCTCTTTTGATCATTGGCTTCCGTAAGAGTCGTATGTGAGGGTGGAATCGTCGGCTCAGGCGTGTTGTTTTCCAGCGGCAAGATACCGAAGCTGGGGGTGAGCGGGCTCATAGAATTGCTGAACATGCTGCGATAACGCGACAACTTGGTCCTCGGAGATATCGAGGAGCAATTGCTGTAATGAATTGGCGCGTTTTGTGGGGTTTCTTCGATAGTGGAACACAATCGTGCCGGAGGCACCTGGCCGCCATTTATCAGCGTTGACGTTGTCGTCACGGGTGTTCTATGATACAAATAAAATTTTGAAAATAAAAAATGAAAATAAAAAAGAATTCATATTATTGTATTGTATAAATATGCGTACATATTAGTGCCGTTCGATATGGGTGTACTGTTGGCATTATTTCCAGGTACAATAAGATCTGGTTCGGTGACATAGTTGAGAGTAGATGCGGTACCATGGCACATGGCAAAGGAATCTAGTTTATCTAATTGAAAAACCTTGGCAGGATCAACCTTTTCGCCGACATTGCAGAGCTCTTCAAACGAATGCCAAAGAAAAGGATTCAACTTTAAAGCCAACTTATGTGCCTCATTACCTCTTGCAGTGCGCATCATTTTATAATAAATTTTCGCTATTATCTGTAGGGAGAAACATGCCTGTTCTCCAAATTGAGTTATGATCTCTTCCAGATTCTTCAATTGTTTATAATATCCGCCAATTATCGCAGCCTCCGCTTCCGCATATCTAGAAAATTTTTATATGTTAATATAAAAAATTGCACATGCAAGAGTACACAGATCAATACAATGTTACTTACTTTTCCAAATCATAACAACATTTTGCTAGTAGAAACCTACATTGTGCCGAACTAGGTGCCTTTTGGGATAATAAGGCATAAGCTTGCCTAATCTGACCAGAGCGATAGTAACATGTTGCCAGAAGAAACAAACTTTCCTCTGTATCCACTGTACAATGTATCAATATCAATATGTATACATATGTACATATGTGTGTATATATATATATATATATATATATATATATATATATTTTTTATAATAAAAATATAAAAAGGAATCAATAAAGTATACAGTCCTACCTTCTGCACACAATCGTTCTGCCAAGAATATAGCATCTGGATAAGCATAATGATTCAAACAATGCCATATGGCTGCCTACAATTGGAAAATTCAACATTTATCTTATTATAATTTATTTTATTATATACAATATTGTTAAGTAAGTAACTAAGCGATACACTAAAGATAATCAAAGGAGAATATATATCTGTTCTTTATAACCAAACTGCATACTTATATATACTTATTAAATATATTTATTCAATAAATTCAAAAAATTAAAACATTAATAAGATACTAAAAATCCTGATTGAGTAATGCTTAATTATCCACTTCCTATTTGAATCTCACTATTTATATATTCATTTAAATATAATAAATGTAAGTTTAAAGTTTGGCAGAAGCAAGAAGTATTAATACAACAGTAAGGCACATGCCTGTTACAAAGCAATATGTGTATATTTAATATTATTTAAATTTTTAGACTTTAATATTAGATAACATATATGAATAGGTTTTTTCCTTATATTGTTACATATCGTGTATAAATATATTTATGTTAGTCACTAGTCTATAAAATGTATATTTAGAAACATTATTTCAATAAAGTACATAAAGCATTATAAATCATATAAAATTCTAATAGAAGAATTAATATTGCTTCAATCGTTGAATTGATAAGATAGAATATGCATTTTATCACATTCAATTCTAAATAATGAACATCCCACTATCTTGCTTATCTGACTTGTACAATATTCATATTGTCAATCATAATTTGCAAGCGCGAAATACCTAGGTATTTTCTAACAATCTGGTAGAGTTCACACAATCACAAGTCATCCTCAGAGACAATATTCCTCTGCCGTATTCAATTCTCAAATGAGTATCTACCAAAAATTCATGAAATATCGCAATTTTCATAGCCACGTTCCTTCGTGGCAAGACAAACAGCCGTGCACCAGTGAAGGATAGATAAGGAATGCAAAAGAACTGTGCCTGAGAGGATGTTCCTGCCTTTAAGAGGTCTGCTTTCATTTCCTGCCGAAGCGACGGAATCGTTCGAGCAAAGCCGTTGACGGCGATTAACGTGTGCGATGCGGCCCGAAATGCAAAAATCTCGCATGTCACAGCGGCAATGAGGTCCAACAATAAATTCAACACTTTTTCTTCTCTCTCTCTCTCTCTCCTCTCTTCTCCCCCTGCCCACTTTTTACCTGCACTGGCTCCTGCACGATCATCGTTCACACCCCGCGAGCGTGATCATAAAAGAACGTTGGCCCTCCGGGCGTGCCTCGGTGAGAATTTAACGGCGGAATATCCCAAAGCCTCCGGGTCGATCGTGGTGTGTATAAAAATCTCTTAGGAGTCCATCTTTGCTTCGATTCTTTTGAAGCGAGCGACTGCTCGACGGGCTCGAAGAGCTGCCAACGGCGACCACAGCGATCGCGGATCAGGGTATTTTGTATATTTTGCGACGATTGGCAACCTGGAGGGCACTGGCGATAGCCAATCATCGCCCGTTGTGTTAACACGCATCTGATAAAAAAAAAAGATCAAAGATGAAATGAATTTTAATTTTGATTTGATTTATACTTTAATTTCTATCTTTTCTAAGAAAGATAAAAAAGTAAAAATTAAATCGATGTTGACGTCAATCTACATCGTGAATCTAGATTAATATTGATCTTGAATTTATTTATCTTTTATCTTTTTTAAGGATTAAAAAGAGATAAAGAAAGTAAATCGAGATTTAATAAGAGATTTAAAATTTAATCTGCACAAAATGAAAATGGACATCAATCGGTAAATGTTCATTTCTTTAAATTAACTTCAATGCTAGTTTAACTGCTTTTTAACTGTTTTCTATTTTTACTAGTATTTATTACTCTATACTTATTATTTCTATATATTTGATATTTATTTATTTCAATGAATATAAATTAATTCTAAAATCGGTTTTTCTTTTTTTTTATTTTAAAAGTTGGAAAAAGATAAAGAATAAATTCAACCAAGATTAAAATTAATCTACATTAGTAGAAATAGAAATAAAAATTAGAAAAAGATAAAAAGTAAATCGAGATTAATCTACATCGATAGAAGAAAAATTTATCAATTTCTAGCTATATAATTTATTTTGCAATTAGTAAAGACATCTTATATATTAACTTTAGGTTATATTTGTATATTGCTGGGTCCATTAATATCAGTCCATTAATCTGTTTTCTGTAGTTGAATTAGTGTTTAAAATAAAATCGATTTATATTTGAAGTTTAACAAAAGCGAAATAGAAAGTTTTAATCCAGTGCAGGAATAGAAAACAAACTTTATATGTATAATTCAATTTTTTTTTTCTATTTTTCTCTCCTTTATTTTTTCAATAGCTGCATTAGCAGAAAAAGCAACTTTGCACTGCTGCAAGATTCTTCAATATGATTGGTTGATACATTAGATCCATGAGAAACTAAAGGCAAAAACCAATCAAAGACAACTGCGAAGCTGTTTTCTCTTTTCTCGAACGCAGCTGCGCGAAACGCGCTTGCGCATAGTTCAACGAAATTCAAATTGTTTGAAAAAGCAACGGTTATTCCGAACGTTTCGTATTTCGTTCGCGTTGCTCACCTTCGTGTCTTTGTTCTTTTCGATTTCTCTCGGTAACATGACTGAATTCAGTACACCACTAAAGGCAAAATGCAAGCGGGTGACGGACAGAGCCGAATTAAATACGCCCATAAAGATACCAGCTTCGCCTTTTCTGGAGCAGATAGGCTATGGCACCGGTGGGTACTTCATGAATTCCTTTTTCATTCCTTTTTCATATTTGTGACATGAAACGTGATTATGGTCAAAGTGTAAACAAATTATTTAGGACAATTTTGATCAAATTTTAATTAATTTAACCAGCGAGTAAATTGATTTATAATTGATTATGTAAATAATATCTGTATTCTTAACATTTCTTGGAAAGTTTCTTTTTTTATTTAACAAAGAAAAAAAAATTGAACGAGTTGCATTATTATATTGCTAGAATTATAATTCTATTGTGTTTGAATCAATATATGGAAACATTTTATTTGCACACCTATTGGCAGGAGTTGGAGTATACATGTTGGAAAGATCACCTAAAGTAGGTTCGATACGTTCACCTTGGGCAGTAAAAAAATGGTTAAAAGGCAAATGCAATGATGCAAATGAAGGACGTCTTCGATTAGAAGCTGATGTGCTTCGACAATTGAATCATCCCAACATTGTTGGTTTTAGAGCATTTACCAAGGGAGCAGATGGAAAGCCTTGCTTGGCTATGGAAGCATTGGATATGTCACTTGGTATTTGCAAGGCTGATTAATTTGAACATTTTTTAAAAATATACTTGTATTCGTATTAACATTACTATCATAAATTAGGTGATAAAATTGAGGAAAGACAAGAACAGTTAGAAGATGAACCATTCCCAGCTAAGGATATTTTAAAAGTCGGTTTTGAAATCGCAAAAGGATTGAAATATCTACATCATACTGCACACATATTACATGGAGATATTAAAAGTTGGAATATTTTGGTATCCCACAATTTCAATACAGTCAAACTGTGCGACTTTGGAAGTTCTTTACCTTTGACGGAGTCTTTGGAAATGGATACATCAAAGGGCAATTTTTCTTATGTTGGAACAGAATGTTGGAACCCTCCAGAGATTATATCTGGTACGTTTGTTTATATGTTTAGCTATATGTTAAAACAATTCCTGACAAAACAATTCTCCCTTTTTAGAGTTATGATAATAACTTTTCAATTCATGATTTTTAAGATCGTTATTTTTCAGAAATCTTATTTCTACTTCCATCTCTTGATTTTCAGTTAAAATTTCTTCAAAAATTTTGTTTTTGAATTTCTCTTGCAGAAAGTGGACCAGTGACGAGTGCTGTTGATATTTGGACATATGGTCTTGTGCTTTGGGAAATGATAGCTTTGACACCACCTCATTGTGAAGATTTTGATCCAGATGAATTCTTGAACGAGTCAGAGAAAGATACAACAAATGTTGATAATCAACTTGATAATTCTGATGTTAGCATGAACGAAAGTGTAACTTTTATCAAAGAGATAATGCCGACTAGATTTAATAAATATGGTAATTCATTATAACATTTGAAACATTTATTATTTATCACTTTAATTAAATCAGAGTAAATTAGTAAATTGAAATAATACAAATCTGATTTTATAGGTACGCGTCCAGCTCTACCTGCAATCGATTTGGGTAAGGAATATGATGGGATACTTGAAATATTTTTTATATGTACTACAGACTACAAATTAAGACCCAGTGCAAAAGCACTAGTAAATTATTATGAAAGGTATGTTTATGAGAAAAAATAATTAAGTTTATTAAGTTAATTAAGTTTAAAAAATAATAATGTTGATAAGAAATAATAATTATATTTATTATATGCACGTAAAATTTTTATTTACGTTAACACTAAAATACTGACTAAAATGTACTCATAACATGTCTTATAATATTTAAAGAGATACAATGATAAATAAAAGAAAAATTATCACTATTACACTAATAATAATGCAAATCTTGATTTTTCGCTGTAAAAATAATAATTCACATTATCCTTCGAAAAATAATACTGAGTGATAAACGAAGGAATTAAATATTTAATACTTTACCTTTCTACTCCTATGATTTCTGTGTTTTGCCTGTCCGAGTTGAACGCGTCCACCATCGATGTTATTCGTGGTTTTATTAGCAAAATATTCTATATTGTTAATTTGTTCCCCCTAAAAAAAATTCTAAATATCATCTTTGATATTTTTTGGCATTATGTAATTCACAAAATATAATTTTGTTATTAACAGCCTTTATGCTCACTTGTTTCTCGATTAAAAATGCCATTTCTGCAAACATATCTCTGACTTCTGTGATAGATTTTTCTAATTTTAGAACGTCATTATGTCTACTTTTTATATCTGATAATTGTTGTCTTGCTATCTTGCTATCTTCTAAAATCTGTGAATAATTAATTGAACATTAAAATATAAAAAGATTTCCGATAAATATGATAAATGATAAATTTATATTTACGTTATCAACAAATAAGCTAGTTTCTTGAGCATCAAGCATATCCTCCAGTTCAACACTCGTAACTTGCCGTCTTACTATTTAACAAGTAATTTAATAAGTAATAATATATATATATATATATATATATATATATATATATATTAATAAAAAACAATATTTTAATTATAATCTATATGTGACGCTTACAATAAAATATAATTGGAAATATAAATGATAAATGCATATAAATACATGTGCTACAAGGATATATAAAAAATATATATCTTTTGCAAATAAGATAATTTATAAATACGCACGTAATGTACGTTGCTGCTGCAAGAGTAAGAGGCATTTATCATGATACTTCAATAATGAGGCATTATAATTCTCCATTATCTCGGAAAATAACTGTAACATAGTTGTATATTGTAGCATCTTGATTCTTGTGTATGCTGGTCCATCTTGTGCATTAACTATAGTCAAATCATCAATAACAGTGATATCTTTTCCCATTTCTATAAAGAATATAAACCTAATTAATACATATAAATCTAAACGAACATTGTATGAATAAAAAAAACGTACAAATCTAAATAAATTATATTAAAATTTTATCTATGTAGCTATATTTAGTTTTTTCATTGAGTCAATATTTAAGAAATTTAAATTTGTATTAAATTTCAAAAATATTACAATTATTTAACTATTATTATTTAACTTTTATCTAACATTATAACTAACATAATAATAATAATAATAATACAATTAAATCCTATATTAACTATAATGATGTAATTTTTAAAAAGATTAGATTATTATAAACAATAAAACAATTACAATGTGGAGCATATGAAGTTATAAAACACAAAACAAAAAATTTTAACTTGGGCAAAAGTTAAAGTTAACATATTTTAAAAAATAAATAGTCGAAGTTAAGTACTAGCTCATTTGAAATTAATTAAGTTATTAACTTTTTAACTTTCTTGTTTCTATCCAACTTGATTGATATATATATATATATATATATATATGCTTACACATATGCTTGTGCGCACTGTAATACGCTATATATATATATGTATAGAAGATGAATAAACACACGACTTAAGATGAACGGATGATTGGTCATTCAGTTTCCCGCTCATACATCATTATACATGGACGTGGCTCGTCTCGCGCATTTCGTTTCGATAAACGAAATGTTCCCCGATAAATTTCTCAAGACATCCGCGAGCCACTCGTACCGACGAAGCGGGAGCGTAAAGTCATTATCGATGCGCATACAGAAAATGATAACCTGAAACCCCGCCGAGCCCCTATCGGTGGCGATAAGTGGAGGTTATGTTTACATCCGCGGATGCCGCGCTTTGTAAGACGCGGATGATAGCAGCCGCTGCGTTTTGAAGCGTGAGTTCGTCACGGCGCGCCATGGAGTCGTTGCGCGTGTTCCAGAGCTTTCAGCTGGACGTCCTCGGCGAGGACTGGGTCAAGTCGATCTGGGATGCCGAGTTCATCGTCTACGACGAGCCATCCGACGGGTGTCTCGAGTACCTGGCAAGCGAGGACGCGAGGCTGCTGCTGCACGAGTCCCGTCTCGTCCTGAAGGCATGGCTCACCGCGAACGAGCGCGAGCCAGCTTCCGAGTTCTCGTGGCAGGCTCTGATGATCCTGGACATCAACGTGCGCGGTCTACTTGCCATGTTGGGTTACGTAATGAAGACCGGTCAGCACGCCGAGACCGACGACGACGCCAGGCAGGCTTGCCTCGAGGCCACAAGTTTGTATCTTATGCTTCTGACGATACCAGGCAGTAATGCATTTCAGATTTATCATCCCAATTTGTATCAGAAGGCGATCGAGACGCTGAGGATGTCGGAAAACTTGTTCACCTCCGTTATAAGTGGTAGAGAGACGGACGCGATTAATTTCGGTATCGACGATGAACTGCCGGACCGTTGTATTCTGTCGCATTCTGATAAGTCGAGGCTTGCACGCGGATTAGATAGAATTATTTCTGATCTTGTTACCATGCTGAGATCGTTTCGCTTTAAGGAACACGCTGAGTCCTTGGACGTTACCGTACGCGCACTATTGGATATTACAAGATTGGAGATATACGTTAAATATCACGACGAATATAGAATAGCGTCTTTGTCGCGGAACGCATATGCGGCTTTGCAAGAATTATGTAGCAGTAGTCACGGGACTATCGCTCTGACTGTAATGCTAATAGCTCAATACATGCTACCGGATCTACTGTTCCATCACGTGAATGTGCAACCGAAAGCCATAGCCATCGTCCACGAGGCGGCTATATACTTCCTGAAAAATCTATTGAGGCTCCACGAGCAGGAAACCATGCAGGGGATTATAACTTTGATACACCAATTGATGGTGAAATGTCCGGAGAGACTGGAGGGTCGTCAAAAGCAAGCGGCTGTTGTAATAAAGCTGCTGAATATATGCAATCAGGATGTTGCCGTAAGCGTTTTCAGGGATATAATATTATTTTCACACAGCGGTAAGGTATCTCATAGATTATTTGCACAGGAGATTATAGGAAAGCTCTTAACAGAATCCTCTCTATCCAGTGACGACTTGAAGGAGGATTTTAAGACAAAGATAAGAAAGATTTTGGTAGCCGTTGTAGTCTCTCGTTGTACGGATCGTTCTGCTTTGGTCAGAGGAAAAGCTATGGCTACGCTCGCATTGTTCTCGGACTGCAATGACGACATCGACCGAGCCATCCTTAAAAGTATGTTCGAGAGTTCAACGTCGGACAAACCATTCTCCATGCTCGATGAGTTGAAGGGAGCGCTGTCGAAGGACATTGATCCGCTACCAGGATCGACTGCTTTAATTGCAATGCTGTTGGACAGATTCAATGACGAGCGCGCGTTGGTGCGAAGAAGCGTCCTGAAGATTACGAGGAATTTATCTATCATGTTCCCATCACTTGTAAGCAAAATGACGCAAGTTATAAGTGAACGTTGCAGAGATCCTGCTCTGGTCGTGCGTCAATTCGCCGTGCACGTCCTGTCCGAGATCCTGCAACAGTTCCCGCACGATTCGAATCTAATTGACGAGTGGGTGCAAGCCGTCGTGCCGCAGATCTATGACATCGAGGCTAAGGTGCAGGAAAAGGTGCTGGAATGCCTAGGGAACGTATTGATAAACAGAATAACAAGCGCCACTACGTACGTCCCGGATGCTGCGAACAGCCTGCCATGGAGAGTCTTGAATAAGCTGAGTAAGCTGAGAATGAAGAAGCATCTCTCGAAAGCCTGCAACCTTTGGGTGAAGAATGGCGCCGTTACAAAGTCTGTGATATCGAATTTGCAGTCGCACGTTGGCACAGATAACGCCATAGGCGCGTGGATACTTCTGGCCGCTCTGGCCGAGAACATGAAGATCCCGAATATAGACGAATATATCATGGATTATAAGGAGATCATCCGGAAGAACGATTTCCACGCGAGTTTGATCCTACACGTTTTGAGATACGCCTGGCCCGTCCTGGCACGCGATCGCCTCGAGAATCTCTACCAGCATCTCTACGATTGCATTTACCGCTTCGAAGTGAATTTTAAGTTGATCAGCACTTGCCTGGACATCCTCAGCGAGATACTGCGATACTTGCACGCCGATAAGAGCAACGATGTGATCGAATCGAACATGACGGAACTGATGAAGCTATCGGAGGCGGAGATCCAGGGCTTATTGGAAGAGAATGAGAATTATACGCAAGATACGCAGAAGGTGAGAGCCATGTTTACCCTAGGTCATGCGTCGCTTCTATGCACCGGCAAGGTTTCGCCGTCGACTCTGCAAGTTCTAGGAAGACTGTTGCTACAGTGGGATTCACTACCGGAAACAGTGAGAAGAATACAAAGTCTACAGGCGTCTGCAGTGGTTCTTCTCTGTCAACAGGCGTTGAGGGATCGCGAGGTCGCTAAGGAAGTCACGCCGATACTCGGTAACCTGATGCGTCAGGAAACCAGTTCGGACTCGCTAATGAGGACCGCTGTAAAGATAAACGCCGCAAAAGCATTAGCCGATATCTGCATAAGGTTTACCGCTCTTGTAGAGCCATACTTGCCGGATCTGTGTATCAGCATGAAAGATCCGAATCCGGCTGTGAGGGAGGCCATAGTGGTGATATTCATTCAGTTGCTACTGGAAGATTTTATAAAAATGAAGGGACCATTTTTCTTTCACGTACTGACGATGCTGTCGGACGCCAACAGTATGATTCGCGAACTGACGATCTTCCTGGTGGAAGAGAGATTATTAATGAAGAACAAGACTCTAATTTCCCAACAATTTCTCGAGAGCATATTCCACTACAATAATTGTCGTTCCCGGATCGCGTTTTACGGACACAGAATGCACGATCAGGAGAGGAAACTTCTAACGCTCCCCGGAAAAGCGAATCAAGACAAACGTAATGTCATCTACGAATTCATGCTGGAACATCTGGACGTGCCCGCCAAGTCTGAACTGATTGTGAAACTGACCAAGTATATACTTCGTGAGATATGCGACGACAGCTCTATCGACATCACAACCGAGGAGGGGGCGTGCGTCCTGAGAGACGCGGTGTTCATAATTAGCAATAATCGTTTACAGCCGTCATCCTTCGCTGAGAAACACAGGGACGAGACCTCGGAACTCGATGAAACGAGCTCGATTCCCTCGAGTATGCCTAACAATGCCTCGAACGTCATTATAGCAGCAATGAAGAAACACAACTTAGACAATCTGTTACCTACGTTAATTACACTTAAAAAGAAACTGGCTACGTTGAAGTCTCCCTTGGAGGATAACGTGGATGGTCTATTGTTCAAGATCTATTCGGAATATGAGAAAGAACAGCTGGTCAATTTGTCAACCGAGTATCCTGAATTGGAGAAAGAAATGGATCGTTATCAACGGTATATTATCAATTTGTAAATGGATTACTTTACAGATGGAAAATAGAATCTTTATGCATTTTAATATATTAACGTTTTCTTTAAATATTTAAATTAAATATTTAAATATTAAATTAAAATTCAAATTCACTATATATCTTTCTGCTTTTATATAAATTATTTTCCGTAGAATAAAATTATGAATATTTGAAAAAGTATCTAAAGATTTAAAAATATATGTTTTATAATAAATTATCTTCATGAGTTGATAAATATATCGTTTTAGGAAGCTGAAGGATAAAATCAGTTTGGAGAACGATGACGGTAAAAACGATAGTTTGTCACCCAGCACAAGTCACAAGGATTCACCAGTGGATATATGTAAGCGATTGGTACCTCGTGTTCTACTCCATCGTATTCCTTCGACAGTATTGCATTGCAATAGGCCGGTAGATACCAGTAATTATTCGCAAATCACATCTTACGATGGATTAATTAAAAGCTCATCGGAGCATTTGGAAAGATCGTTGTTGATACAAACGCCACCTCCAGAGCCAACTTTTTGTACCAGCACGCCTATATCGACACCAAATCTAAATTCGTATTCCAGTGATTGTTCCACTCGAGGCTCACGCGTGAAAAGATTTTCGCGCGAACGAGAAGTGTCATCGGATACTCCTCGACGTAAAATTTTAAGAGAAAATTAATAATGCTTTCGATCTCAGTCACATCGACATCGTCCATGAAAAAAATCTATGTACAAATCTACCTACCTCGTAATTTTCGCTGTACGCGAAACGCCGTTTGCGAGATCGTACACGTGCGAGTCTCCAGTTCTTTTTGTATGTCTACAAACACATACATGCATATATGCATAAATTATATTTCTCGAATTACGCTCAGGTACTGCGACTTACCCTTATTTGTATGCGCTAGGATATTATTATGTAAGCCTTTGACGATAGAAACATTTTCGACTATAAGGTGGATGAGAGCGCGTATTTCCTCGGCCTACATTAATACGTTGAGTTTTTAATTATTTGTTATGACAGAGTGTAAAGTACACGATTTGACAGGGATTCGATGGCGTTTATACGTACTTCGTCGAGCAACTCCTTGAGTCTTTTGTTCTGAACTATTTGAAGGTGTACTTCCTGTAAGAATCCTCTGCCAAAGGTACTGCTGTTACTTCGGCTCTGGAGAAAATAGTACTTTATATGATAATTCTAAAATTATTCATTTAGTTTATTCGCATGACTAACATTAATTGCAAGCGAGAATAGCGACAAACTTTGAATTGATTTTAAAGTGAATCTTTCTTTCACAATTTTTATTTGTATGATTCATTACGCTCGATAAATGATCAAAGGTCTTTTTTCTTGACACGTTTCTCTAACAATTATAAAAAAAGTAAAAATACTAACGGCACGCAAATCGGGCATGCGATCGCGAACCATGATGAGTATTCTTTTACAATCGCCATGTAACTGATAATTCGGTGAACGGAATAAATACTGTGTGTGTGTGCTTCGTTATCTTTCTTATCAGTGCACTGTGAATATCGAGTAAAATCCGTTTTACTGTTTCGTAGCCGGTACCAACTTCGTAGTGACGGTGAAACGTACCACTACGACTGTTTCTTCGACTGAGTCGCGTGACACGCTTCTAAAGTGCACATAGGTAGAAGATACTTTGCATCTGAAATGAAATAGGAAATAAGCACTTAGCAGCTGTGCGCCGCGAGGCTGACAGATCAGGCAATTACACGTTTCTTTATCTAATTTATTAATTCAGTAAGAGAGGGATATAATATATATCATATTTGCATTGTACGTTTTGTTTGACAAGTAATATCAGAGATGAAATAATTATAGTTTCAAAACAAAATTCATTGATTAACTCATCATTTTCTACTTATAAATTTTTGTTACGAAAAAATAGATTTTTTTTTTTATTTAAAATGAAACTTTGATGCAAACTTAAGGTTATTATTAGTTTTAGACTATAGCAACGAAAAACTGCCAATTATTTTTTCTGTAAAAATATTTATTAGTTTATTTATGAAATAATTTAAACAAATGCGTTAAAATTAAAATGCAAATTTAAAATAACTAATTATTCAGAAATTTTTCGTAAATTATATTATTGTATTATATTTTTTATTTTATCTAATGATAAAAAGAGAGAGGGGAAAGAGAAAAGAAAAAATAATATAATTGAAAAGAAATAAATATTTAAATAAAAATTTGTAAGTTTCGTTCAATTATTTTTACTTTATATATTTAAGTCGATTAATGGCGAGTTGCTTTTGTTACTTTAATAAAATAAAATTATTTTAATTATTTTTTTATTTATTAACTAAGAATAGTCAGACTTTGTTAATAATACATAGATATAATTGCTAATTGCTATCTGCTATTATAATTGTAATTTTATTATATGACCATTAGTGTTAATGAAAACTGTGTATTTTGAAGATATTTTTTATTTAAATATTTAATATAATTTTCATTTATGATGTTCCGAATATTATGTAAACTATTCTGTGATACTGCACAAAGCAAATCTGGCTTATAATTCACTATAACTATGTACATATAAATGCGTAAAAGATAAAAGATTAATGTTAGATAAAAGTACAAACAATTTTAATTAAGCGATAGTTAATATAAAATTATATGCGCATGTATTCCATGCGAGAGATTAATGCGCAGGGAACGCGCTTAAGGAACAATAATCAAAATTACTTTGTAACAAGGTATATTTGTAACAAATAATTATATATTTTACTAGAAGCTACCTGTTTTCTTTACAGAGCACTTTATTAATTGTTTGCACCTGTTCAACAATAACGATAACTACATCTAATGAACCGAGTGCTGTTAGGAAGACAGGACGAGTACTTTTTACTTTTCTACAGAGTTAAAATTTTTAGCAAATATTTAAATATAAATCTAAATAAAACATCTAACCATCACTGTATATTTAACTTCCGTAAAAGTTTATTTTTCTATAATGTATGCAATATTTTCATATGCTATTTTATTACAGTTTGTCACGAAAATTATCTAGTGTGCGTTGATACTCATATGTTAATATAATATGTTTTGAACAAAAAATAATTACAACTTTATCGTCTTGTATATTTCCTTTGTAATAGAATAGATAAATCTGCATACCTGTACAATAAGAAAATATGTATTTCAAGGCAAATCAGTCAGTCTTATAAACTCGTCAATTTTAAATCAATTAATAATGCTTTTTTGTGATAAATATACTATAATCAGTAAATTATTATATAGAGAGACAGACTGCTGATATATTATTAAATTGTCATTGCACGATATTACTAATAAGAGGAATTTTAAAAATCTATATATTTATTATATAGATGGAATATATATAATAAAAAGATATATTTAGATATAGATATATTTTTTTAACATTTTGACGTCATTTTATACGTCTGATAATAGAAAACTATTAAAAATTTTCATCGAAATTTACGACAGAACGGAATGGTATTGTGATATACACTACATAACAATGGGTCTGTCTGTTTCAATCGCACCTTTTATCACTTTCTGTACTTAAAATGAAACTGGCTTTGGAAGGAAAAAAGAACGACGCAAACAAACAGACCTAATCACTCTCATAAAGACGGATTCCTGCTCACAGTCTATTAATATAATCTACTTATGCTTGTTAATATATCCGCAAACATTACTACAAGAAACTGTTAAATTTTTCTTTATTGTTACATCTTACATGTTTAGTATGATCATTGTTAATATCACTGTAATACAAAGCAGCGCACGAAAGGGCAGTCAGTTTTATATCCAATGTCAATAAGAGTTTTATCAGTAAAAAGATAAATATATACGTTTCGTATACCTAATATATAGAATAACATTTTTTAATAATATATATAATAAAATAAAATAATTTCACATTTAAACATTATAACATTCTTTTATTAATAATAAAACTCTATCGACTTTAAAGCCAGATTACTCTTTCTCGCGACGCTCTATTTGTGTGCACGCTACGTCTCGCTTCGAAAATATTGCGATCTTTAAAGCAAGCTCGCTGAATGTTTCGAGATTCTCGATATGGTAGTATCAGGAAGTATCGCTAACAGGATGCGGTTCGCACTCTCACTTTATCCCTTAGGTAATTGGCGACCTGCGTTTGCGAGTGCCGGACGGCCAGTTGAAGCGGCGTGATGCCCTCCTGATTTACGAGCAAAGGATCAGCCCCCGCTCCCACAAGCTGCCTTGCCACTGTCATGTGTCCTGTCAAGGCTGCCGCGTGCAATGCACTTTCGCCGTTCTAAAGAAAAACCGTGAAGAATCTCAATAATAGAAATTATATAGAATTACATATAAAATGATGCAATTTTAGATCGTTTAAGGTAGACTTCAGTCAAGTTCTTTTTTTCTCTAATATTCATGCCGAGGCTCTCGCTTACCGGAAGCACGCCGAGCGAAGGACGGTACTTGAGCAGCTCGCCGATGACGGCGGTGTGACCCTTGTGGGCGGCTTTGAAAAGCGGGGTCGCGCCGTCCTGTGAAAGAGAAGATTGTTCGCGATGACAATCCGGCTGGCGTGGCACAATAGGGAGAGCTCGCCTTCGGCGATTACGCAAAATGCGAGGGTGGTGCACGACACGCGATTCTACCCGGGACTTACGTGTCTCGTGGCATCGACCTTCGCGCCGGCTCCCAGCAGCCTCCTGACAATGTGATCGTGTCCCATTTGCGATGCGATCCACAGAGGTGTGGCGCCGTCCGTTCTCGCCGCGTCCGTCTTTGCCCCGTGTTCCAGGAGGACTTCCAAAATACGGAGGTGGCCGTTCTGGGCAGCAATAAACAATGCCGTGGCGCCATCCTAAAAAGTCACAATCGATTCTTAAATTTCTCTCGTGTATTAATTATAGCGTTATTATTTCAAGCACTTAGATCGATGCGTTCGACTGAGGCGGGTGGAATCGTTCCGATGAACAATTTATATTAGCATGTCTATTTTTGGGAAAATCTAAAACATTTGGAATTCTCAGGAAATTTTTTTGAAATTTTATGTCTATTTAAATCTTTGTGCTTTTTAGAAAAAAATTTTTGATAAGACAATTCAATATCTCCTTAGACTTTAATTAAGTCAAAAGTTAATATCCAAGCATCACGTGGCTTTCCTCCGCGCTTAGCAGACATCAAAAGATTGCTCCCAGTAAAATAAAACTTATTTCAAAGTTACATTTAAGAATTCTTTAATTTTATCTGGAATTTTGAACGAAAATACTTAGGAAATCCGAGAATTTCATTCTCAGCGAATTTTTTTATAACATTTAAAAACATTTTTAGACGCTACGTATATTCAATGGAAAACCAGACGAGGGTTAAAATATTCGAGCTTCGCCAGTCGGACGCAGAGAGAGAGATGTAATTGGCGAATTTAGTAGACTCGATATTATTTCGAGCACGTCCTCTCACCTTCATATGAGCGTTCGGACTGGCGCCTCTCTCTATTAAGCCCTCCACGACGTCCAGATGACCGTACTGGCATGCGACGAAGAGCGGCGTGCCGCCGTCCTGAAATCCACGTGGGACACACATTGGCGTTAAAGAGCAGCGTAATCACATTTTACACGCGGATTAAACATTCCTCCGCCTCTCACTTACTATGCTGCACGAGTCCACGATCGCGCCGTGCTCCAAAAGCAGGCCCGCGATGTCCATGTAACCGCCCTGGGCGGCGAAGAACAAAGCCGTGGTCCCGGTCTGCGAAACGCACAAACATTATCATAAGCGTACGATCGCTCACAGTTGTAGATCGTCGGTGTGCGATGATTCGTTTATCCTCGAGCATCTTAAAAATATTTTCTAGAAAGCAAATCACCCTTTCGTGAAATGGGACCCTTTCCCCCGTAGGGAAGGTCTTTCCGCGGGGAAGATTTATTTCTCGAACAATTTTTATCTTCTGAGGGAAGAAAATTTCTGAATATTCTTTCTCTGTTGAAAAATCGAGACGTTCGAGAGGTGAGCGAATCATCTGTAAACTGTCTACGATAGGAGGCCGGAAACTCTCCTCGCGATAGAGCGTAACAGTTTCTCTATACGGGACGCGAAGATAAGCATGGCGAGACCAGAGCAGATGGAGAGAATCGATGATGTACGGTTTTACCTGCGAGAGGGGATAAACCCGGTTTGCTTTCTACACCGGGTAAATAATTCAAACAGAAATGTCTGCATTGTTCGCAACGCCGAATTCCGATGAATTAGAAATAATGGATAATGATCGATAATTCTCTTCTTCGATATGCAGATAAGACAGATGTATGAGCGATGTCCTTTGGGTTCGCAACGCGTTATATAAGAGATATTTATGCACATACCGAGTAATAATGCACGTCGCAGAATTTCATCGTAATTTCGAAGGATGCGTCGTGATGCATCGGCACGTGCGTTAAATCGCATGGAGAATTCGACGTGAGGTCAGTCACCACTTTCGCGATATGTAAATGTCACGTATCTCCCATGACCCACCCATAACTCATATCCACGCGATAAATCGACATGTAACATGTTCACGTCGCAGTCGCGTCGTTAATAACGATATCGAATGACGATTTTATTCGCGAGGAAGAAACGTCGATTTCTTTCGGGACACGCGATTTCTTTCGGGAGCGTTCAGTTCAGATACAAGCTTCTTTTTATGGTTTTTCTTAGTCCGCCCAACTTTCTTTCGCTGCTTGCACCTGTATATCCATCCATATAACACGGGAAGCTACGATATGTCATGCTTAACGGTAAACTTTAGCGGCGAGAACCGGTCGCAAAAGCGGCCTTGATATTTCGAGCAAATGTCAAATTGAATTTCTTGTGGTGAAAGAGCTACGATACTACGATACGCGGTTTTTAGAATTTTTTCTATTCACATATTTTCCACGTGAATACTCCTCTGAAGATGTAAAATATTTAAAAAAAGAAAAAAAAAAACAACACATTAATTTGCATTCACGTCACAAAAAAAACAATACATTAATTTGCATTCACGTCACAAAAGCGGTTTTATTAATTTTTTTATGACAGCACTAGAACTGGCAGTTCAATCCAACGTCGTCATCTATAAAGTTTATCTTATCGGCACTTTCTTATAACAGGACGTTGCGATTATTAATAAGCCTGTCGTTACACAAGTACTAAACTTGGCAGTCTTAACTATCGATTTCCACGTAGCGACGTGGAAGTGCTGTTTTACAATACAGCGTGTCCTTCACCTAATTAAGATAATGTCTCGCGTTAAAGCGTGACTATCGTGCCGCAGGCCGAAGCCAGGTGTCGTGCTCGATTCGCGTAAATTTTCGAAACTTTCGATCGAAACGCGATCGCGAGGTTCCTCCCGGCTAACTACGGGGCTTCTAAATCACGACGAAGCAATTAGAATCCGGCGTTACGCTTTCACGAGGGAAGATAAATTCCTCCCGGGCTGTCGGCGATCGTATCCTAACGGATACGGTGGAAAAAGTTGTAAAAAGGCAAATTCGGAGTGAGAGGCGAGCCGCGAGTAGAACGGAGCACGTTAGTAAAATTGCCAAACTGGCAGAGACGATGCTCTTTCGAGCGACTCAAATGCAACGACGCTCGACACGCTTCTTGGAAGCGATCCAAGAGGGAAAACTTAAACCACTTTCTTTCCGACGCGTAAAATACGCAAATAGTTCGCAAGACTCCAGAATTTTTCAGAATAACATTTCGAACAACATGTCGCATAAATTACACTTTCAAATTCTCCTTCGCATATGGCACGTAAAATGTCTCTTTATCGAAGAGATTTCTTTGCAAGTCCTTTCGAGAAGAAAAATTTTGCGTGAAGAAAAAGCGTGAAAAATTTTGATGAGATCTAAGTCTAAGATATTATCCAATATCTCTCGAAAGAGAAATTATACGCGCACCGTGTGTTCTTTTTCATTCTCTTTATGCATTTAGTTTCTGATTTAATTTTTCTGTGGAAAGAACGGATTTGTTGAAGTATCTAAAAATTCAAGTCAAGTTGAAAATAATTTTGTTGCGCCATCAAAATAATTATATAATACGCTCAAGTATGATAATAATATTGCAAATATTTTTAACATTCTAGCAAAATTGGAATGTTCTATATAATTATTTCGATGGTCTAAACAATTATTTTCAGATTTTTATAAAATTTTGAGACACTTCAACAAAACTGTTTTTTTTTTTTTCGTATATGAGCATTAACGATTTGTCACTCTATTAATATGAATATTCGCTTTAATTACAATTTAATTTAGTCTCAATTTTTTTTCTATCTTTTGGAATTAAAAAGGGACAAAATATAAGTTACATACCAAGATTAAAGTTTAATCTATTGGTAGAAGTGGAGATTATTAATCTCGTGATTTATTCCGAGACTCTCGTGTTCGAAGCCTTAGGTGTATCACTAGGCGAGCAATCCGCTAGTGGACTCCGGTAAAATGCACTTTCACTAGCCGTAAAAGCTCCTGTATCGAGAGAGCGGCGAACTCGTAGCTTTATCCGTTACGTGTCCCTGTTCTTCCACGCCCTGGCGCGCGAGGCGGCCGATCCTCTGAAAACCCTCAATTTCCGAGGTGTGACGCGAATTAATCCTCCACGTGAATATCACTTCCGTGAAACGACGGAGAAAGACCGGAAATCTTGCGCTTCCCGGTGCTTTTTTTTTTTTTT